ATATATATACATATATACATATAAGACTATTTTATATATATATATATAACTAATATACTAATATTACAATACATAGTTTTTTAACCAGAGACTGCAAAATATCTGGAAAAATAAGCATTGTATGAAAAAATGTTTCAAATAAACCCTCAATATTTTTGAGGGAGCAATTCTATTCCGCAAAAGTTAGCCGCCTCCCGATCCCCCCTGGGAGTGGGGCTGGGGGTAACTTTAAAATCTTAAATGGGAACTCCTACTTTTTATTCGCCCCCCGGGCCTCATTGATAGTCACGAAAATTTGCCCAGAGCCGAGGACTTTAATAGTATCTCGTCGGTGGTTTTACTGTCATAGCAGAAATATTAAAACAAAATCTACCAAAAAATAGCAAAAAAAGATCAAGCTCTGATTGGTCGCAGCAGATAAACATGCGCAAGAGCACACCATATCTACTTGCATCATGGCCGAGGCTTCAAATCGTTCATATTAGCAAATTATCTTACTGTGGAAAGCCACATAGCCCGACAATAAAGGCTATTAAGGTGCTTGTCTTCTTCTTCTTTTGATTCCTCTGTTTTCCGATCCAAAGAAAGGATACGTGAAATTTTGAACAATACATGATAAATTTTGAAAAAAGATCCTGTAATAGCCTTTGCGGGGAATAGAGGCTAAAATTAAATGAGTGTCTGTTAAGCAAGAATAAAATGATACTTCATGCGCATCATGCGTGTAATGGAACGTAGCCAAAGTGAGCTCCAAAATTGGGCTTTAAAGTGAGTGATATGAAATGTGTTCTTCGCAATCTGGAGTTTCTTCTAAAATTTCTAAAAAAATTAATTTAAATTCTTCTGGAATTTCTAGAAAAATTAAAATTTTACGGAATATATATATGGAACATTCTCGAAATATATAACGACATATGTATAAATGGAATGGATGGTTTTTAACCGATCTTTGAACGTTGCTTCTACATTTCGTAAGTATTTCGCGATATTCTGGATACTCTTGAAACTCTTTTTTTTTTTAAGATTTTAGGAATCTTAAAAATATTTTAGGAATATTTAGCATTAGTTGAGGAAACAAACGTGGAAAAAAATGTGATTGTCGATAAAACTGTACAAACAGATAAAAAGAAAGACACAGGAAGCAAGGAACGTATTGTAGATTAAGTTTAAAGCGG